AAAATAATGTAAATGTATTATAATTGTAATGGCTGCTAATAGGGGCTCGCCTGAAATTCAGCTTTGCCTACTAAACTTGGATTTTAATCTATATAAAAGAAAGCCGAGACAATATCCTGTCCCCGACTCTGGTGCTGTTCAGTCATTTAAGTGTGTGGGAAGCTTATGCAAAAGTATTTTCAATCACCTGAAGCTTTGTCAGCAAAACTTAATGGAAGGCAAATGTTACTTGGCTGGTATATCTAGGCAAAGGAATTCCCAAACTGCATCATCCATCTGGAGAGGGAAGCAGATCCTTTCCTGGCAGCTCACTGTAGATACTTAGTGAGTGTAACTCCTTCAGCTGCAAATGCACAGGTTTCTGTGCTAACTTTGCCAGGCTTCTGTTTCCCTGGGTTTTTCACTGGGTATGTGACAGTGGAAGCCCACCTGTTCTCTGGTTCCTCAGTGCCAGTGGAGAAGTGCTGTGGACCAGCAGAGCAAGCTTGGTTTGTGGTAGTGATCCTAGGGAGCTGTGTGTGACAGTGACTTGTGACCCCTCTTCATGTTGATGTTGCCAGGTCAGCTACAAATGCATGCATATTGTGAAAACCCAGACATTGTCTTATGTGGGAACAAGAGTGACCTGGAGGACCAAAGGATGGTGAAGGAAGAAGATGCTAAGGAACTTGCAGAAAAATATGGGTAAGTAACTTTCTTCCAATTATTGCTGTGTTTTGGGCAGAATGAGATACTTTCTGTAATGCTTTTTTCTGTATCCTGAAAGGTTATTGTGAGAATAAGCATTTTAGAATGCTTAAATGGCTGGTATGAGACCTTTTTTTCTGTCTGAGATTATTATTTTCTGCATTGCTTAAAAATAAGTACTTAGTATTACAGTAATCTTGCACTGGATATTAAGTAATTTTATTTGCTTGGCAGTAAACAGTGTAAATTTTCACAAACATTCTGGAAAAGAGAGAGTTTGGAGAGGCAGGTGAATAATGGGGTCACTTCTTTGCTCTTGCCTGTGCTGAGGAATCTGCAATCTCACAGGCTCCCAGGGAGTCTGAAAACTGAGTCAGACCAGTAGGAAAACAGGGTAGCCTTGCCCTTCCCCTTCCTGCCAGGCACAGGTCATGTGCCGCTGAAGGAAGTATGTGAAATCTTTGTTCCCATCAGATATTAATTTGTACTTTTATATCCCTTAACTCTTTCATGGGGCTTATCTTTGGATTACCTTTGCATTTCACTGAAAATCAGAAACACATTTCTGAAGGAAATAGTCTGATGTGTATGTTGTGTTTTAATTCACATAGTGGAGAAATTTTCTAGCACATGAAATGGATTCCTTCTGAAATGAAAGCTAAATTAAATTATGTGCTCCAACCACTAATCCACCTTTGTCTGGAGGGACAGAGTAGAACTGCCCCAAAGTAAAGCCCACAGGACAGGCAGTAGTGGGAACACTGGCTCCTCAGTGCAAGCTGTCTTGTTCTGCAGGTCTTCTGCTGTCTCATGATGTTTACTAGGCACAAATTAGCTTGCCTTGGCCTCGAAGAATCATTGGAGACAAGTCAGAAGCCATCTGAGACAGAAATGTGTTTAGTGCAGTTATACTTTCTTACTTTTTCCTTCTGTGAAAATGCTTGTTTGAAGTCAAGTCCATGTCACACAGACAACAGCAAGTGCATATGGTACTTTAACCAGCTGCTTGTGAAGGAGCAAGAAGTTTTAAGCAGCAGCAGATAGTATGTGACATATCTTAAATCTCTTTGCATGTGACTTCTGAAAATAACTTATGAAGTATTTATCTTTGTGGCTGAAAATGCAACTTAATTTAGGAATAGTTAGCTAAAAGCCAAGGTTTTGGGTCACATCCAATCCTTAGGCAGTTACAAAGTTCTCTGCCCTGTAAAGGTGAGACAGAATGGCTGCTAGGAGTCACTTTCTCTTGAGGGGAGGCAAGATAAATCATGTTGCAATGAACAGTCTTCTGGTTACTGAAGTGTGAGATAGTGAATGTGGAAGGGCCTCATATGGATATGTGATGTATTTGAAAGAGACTACAAGAGACCTGCACAGACACAGCAAGAGACTTTTCCGCCACTCATTGGGTCTTGCAGGTAAGAAATACTTAAAATTCTGAAGTGATGGTATCAGGTCCCTGGGCAGTAACACAAATGCAGCCACTGTAGCACCACACTGTGGGGAGCACTAAGTTCAGAAGGCAACAACACATGGACCCACAGTGGAACATCCTGATCCACAGCAATAAAGAAACAAGCAATGTACTTTAGAAACCAAGGTGCCAGAGACTTTTCTTGACAAAGACACAGGTGTTCTGAGTGCTGAGATTTCTTCTTTTCTGTAATAAAGTTTAGAGGTGTGGTGTCAACAGAAGAAAGTCACCTTCTGTAGCGATGAGTACCCTGACACTGTGAGTCTTCAGTGCCTTGCCTGCAGAGGAATGGCCATAGCAGCATTCCTTCTCCTGCTTTATGTCCTTGTGTACACAAGTGTTCTTACTGATTTCTATGCACATCAGCTCTGGAGTAACTGCATGTCTTGCAGGGAACGGAGTTTAGAAAAACAGACCTCAGGAGCACAACTCTGGGATATCATGCTGACAAGTGCCTCTATAAATTGCGGACTCCATTGACATTTGCCCTTCTGCCCTACCTTCAGTCAGCCATTTCATTAATTTCTTTTGCATTTCAGACCACTGAGCACTTAGTGTCTCTCTGCTATGGAGTAGCAGTGACAGTCTTAGTGTGAGCTCTAAGTATGTGGCAGTAATGCTGTTATTTTTTTTTCTCCCACGAGTGACAACTGTATGATGTAAGGCTATATGTTTTGTCTCCTGCAGAATACCATATTTTGAAACCAGTGCGGCAAATGGGAATAATGTAAGCAAAGCCATTGAAACTCTGCTTGACCTCATTATGAAGCGCATGGAACGATGTGTGGATAAATCCTGGATCCCTGAAGGGGTGGTGCGCTCCAATGGGCACAGCTCTACAGAACAACTGAATGAGGAGCAAGAAAAAGGCAGATGTGGCTGTTAGCCCAGTTACAATTAACTTTAATGTGTATGATACAGTACAGTTGCAGCTTACCTGTTTAACTTTGGGAAAAATCGCTTTGTGTAGTTATTTAATGAGCTATATTAATTCTTGATACGAATTTTTATTTGCTTTTTCTCAAACAACATTGATCTCCACTTGTAAGTTTATTAGCTGTGGGACAGAGATTTAATTTGGTTTAGCACTGGATATTCCTCTAATTCACTGCTTGGGGGGAAAGGGGACAAAAGGAATTTTCATTACCAAATTCAGAAACATGTCTCTATGGGCATAAAGGGTAGGCTTCTGAGTTGAAGGGTTTGCAGTTGCCCTTGGCAGTCTCCATTAACTACACAGAGTAGGCATTTAGATTAGTTATTGTGACAGCTCTTGGTGTCTCCTAACAGCAAGATAACCAACTCGCTTCTTGGTTTTAAACAGAAACATTTAATAATTTTACCAATTAATAACAATCTTAAAGAGCACATCCTGTGTTTTCCACAAAAGCCTGAGAGTAGTTTTTCCTTGCTCTCCTAATCCATCAGTTTTCAGTGATGAAAACCAAAGGGAAGCACTTCAGTACAAAATAAAAAGCTCCAGAGAAGCGCAGGGGTGTGCACACAGAGCACTTGGGGCATGTCATGTAATTGAACATGTAAACTACAACTGTACTACATGAAATGTATCCAATGCAGCCTAGGAGAGACCTCCTTTAGATCACATGAATTTCTAGAACATGCATGCATGTAAATTTACAAGTAAATGGTATAACTGTGCATCTGTTATGTTTGTTTCATACTGTTACTCATATTTTAACAGGAATGTAGGGCAACCTAGATTTCAGGAAAATTTAATCAGAGTTGGTGCTTTGCACTGAATTTGTTTTACCAAACACAGATTGAGAATGTTTCTTCAAATTTGGATTGAGAAATGAGTGATTATTGTCTTCTGGTGAGATGCAGCTAAGATACTAGTCCTGTAGATCAGTATTTCTATGAATTTATAATGCTCATTTTATTCTGCCAACCTTTGTGTTCTGAACATCTTGCTTATCATACAGTAATTTATGGCTTGTTCATTTCCTTTAGATTGTATTTTAAAAAGAAAATACCTTATCTCCCCTCAACTACAAATCATATAAATGTAATTTTTGGTTTCAGTGTATCATGTTACTCTAACCATTTTTATTTATTCCTATGACCTAGGATACAATCAGTATTTTTTGGGCTTTTGCTCAGACTGATTTATAAGATGTGCCTACCAAACTGTTTTCTACCCTGGCAGAGGTTGTATAATTGTAAGGTATTGCCAATTAAAGTCATAACATGCCAAATTGAGTCTTGTTACAGACCTTTCAGAGCAGCTTGTTTACAGAACTCCAAAGCTATTGCTTCTTTAAAAATTACATATTTATTTATTTAAATATTCTAACTACTGCAATTTGAGGCAAGTATTGATACCAGTTACAAACATGAATTGCAGCATAACAAAATTTTTGAAGGAAGGACCAAAAATGTTTCTAGAATAGGATCTAAGAAAAATAAAATATTTGATGTAGCTTCTGGTTATATTAATTAATACAAGAATAAATGTTTAAACTTGGTTCTTAAAATATTTTACACAGTAATGCATTGTTCTTTAACAAACACAATGTGTAAATATTAGATTTTTATCACAGCCTACACAGAATATTTTAAAAGTGCAATATAATTTGACTGCTCTGGGGCTAGGATAGAGATAAAAGAAATTTATATGAGTATAGGGTTTTGGTTTTTTCTACTCCACTTCTAAAATGCTTGTAGACCGGAGTTACTGTAGTTTAATTCAGAGTGCCTTTTGAAGTTACCATCATGTTTCTGACCAGTAGAGTAAGAAACTCTAGTGTAAGACACAATACATTTCAATGTACTTCAGTGTCTGAATTTCTTTTAATATAACTCTTTGGTTTTCAGAGGGTTGTAGTGGAACTTTGTCATGCATTAACTTAAAATGGGAGTTTTCACGCTTATAGCTCCATCCAGTTCCTGAAAACTTTAAGGATTATTGCAACCAGCTATTGAGCTAAGTGACTACTGAAATAGTGTAAAAATATTTCCTTTTGAATACTTATGTTTAAATTGGATATTAAATATTAAATACTGAAACTGTCATATTTGTGTCATGCCTATTATTTGTAACTATTTACAAAGAGGATCTGCATAACATTGCTTTGATGTCAACCTTTGAAATGTGCCATAAGATTTATCCGTTTGAATTATTGTGTGACAAAACTTTTGTTCCCTTTTAAACTCTCATGAGAAATCACGGTAAATATTTCTTGACAGTAAATTACACTGCTCTTACTAGACTAGTACAGGTTTTAAGAAACAAAGAAACAAGAATTCTGAGGTGATGTAAAACTGTTATTTCAATAAAAGTTGTTTCCATTTAGTGTCAGATGGAGACACTGATCTGTAATTGAACAAAGTGTTCCCATTAAGATGGATTGTCCCAGGATTTCTTACAATAATATAAAATAGCTAAACATTCCTGACATGAACTTTGCCAGCACTGTTGAAGTGAATTGTAACAGTTCAGTTCCTGTTGTCTTGGTTCAGTGTCGGTCCGTGTCCTGCACTGTCCATGTGTGTTGTGAGGGTTCTTTGTTCAGATGTGTCCAAGGCCTGTGCTGTGGTTGAGGTTCTTCTTGATGACCCTCTTTTGCACTGACCAAACCCTTCAGACAGGGGCCTGGCGAATGCTGGGTGATGCCAGGAGGAGCCCAAACCCAGAGAAGACAATGGAGACGTCAGTTCTGTGTTCATTCAGAATGCTGCTGGTCTGAGCAAAGGGAATCAAGCAGTACATTTTGTCAACTTTATTACTTCTACAAAGGTAAGGAGTCTGATTTTTCAGAGTAACTGCTTCCATCAAGAACAGTGTCTATTACCAGGAAGGTTATAGTGTGCTGGAGGACATTGCTGCTATTGAAAAGTTCCTTGACAGGCAAGAGAAGGAGCTGAACTAAACCTCATTCAGTTTAAAAAGGACAAGTGTCAAGTGTCTCTGGGTATTCCACCTGGGCTGCAATACCCCTATGCAGTAGTGCTAGCTGAAAAAACATGTTTCAGATAAGGGGATGAGCATCCTTTTCCAGGCTGACCAAAACACAAAAGTGTGTTGCTGCAGCAGAGAAGGCCGGCTGTATCCAGGGCTGCACTGGTAATATGAAGGCAGCAGGTTGGGAAAATCAGGCTTTCCTTATCTTCAGTAATTGTAAGATTGATGAGTTCTGTGCCCTGGTTTGGACACCTCAGTAGAAGAAAGACATTGATATAGGGAGTGAGTCCAGCAGATGCCACCAAGATCAGAGGGCTGGAGCACAAGGGGTAGGAAGAAACAGAACAGTTTGCTGAGCTTTAAGCGAAGGGAGACCTTTCTGCTGTCTTTAATGGGTGGAGCCAGACCCATTTCAGAGGGCACAGGGATAGGAAAGATGCAAGAGAGAAATGTTCTCTAGAAAATTAAGATTAAATAGTAGGAAAAGATTGCCACCATACAAGTGGTCAGAAATTGGAACAGGAGCTCAGGAAAGTTATGAAGTCTGTCTTTGAAGACACTAAAAACTGAAGTGCATGTGTCCTTCAGCCTGGTATTAGTTTGTTCTGCTTTGAGCAGGGCTTTGCTCTAGATGACCTCCAGAAGTCTTCTACCCAATATGATCATATCTGTCTGAACCTGATCCTACAAGGGCATTTGCCTGACAGTTTATTCTTTCATATGACTGTATGACAGTCCTTTTACTTCTATTGGGAAACTTGTACAAGTATGTAAATGCTTGCAGATCAGAGCTTTGCTATGAGTTTAAGGTAGTGAGTTGAGATGTTTGACAGTTCTTGCTGTAGTAATCTGTGTCAAAAACAAACGAGCCACTTAGTTTGCTGCAAAAAAATCTCTTCTTCCAGTGAGGCTGTTTTTCACCTGGATACCTAATTCTGTCTGAATAACTATCAATGGAGTAGAAGTACATACGGGATTTCTATAATTAATCTGGATTCTGTCACCAGCAGCCTTCAACCTCTATTGCCTTTTAGTAAGGAACAAGCACTTCAAATCTACAGCACAATGGCTTGTAGAGGAGATTAGTGCTTTGATGTAAAAAAAATAGAGCTGGGAGGGATGATTTAGTGGTAAATGCTTGTACTATCACTGTGCACTCACATCCTGTCTGCTGGATGTATTGGTGACAGTCTGTAATTCAAAGTGTTTAAACTATAGAAGCCACCAAATGCTTCACAACCCAGTGCTCTGCCAGGAAAAGTGAAATAAATACAGCCCAGGTGGAAAAAAATGGCACAGGCAGGAAACTCAAAGCAATCAAACTGAAAAAGGAGAACAGCCTGGGACCTAGGAAAACTTGTTTACTATTTGGTTTTTCCTCTAGCTGTAAACTTGTCTTCATAGCTTCCCTGATAAAACTGGATTGTGTGTGCTACTTTACCGTTTCCTCTTATCACCCAGGTTGCCATCCTCTGTCACAGCCTCAGAGCCCTCACTGCAGTGAGAGCCATTAACACTCCTGTGCTCCAGCCCTGCTCTCCACAGCAGACATGGCTAAAGTCTGCTTTTCAGAAAGACTGGAGACAGCCTCTGTGCTGATAAGGTGATTCCACTGTGCTAAAGCAAGTTTTCTTTCTTCCTCTGATTATTTATTAATTCAGCACCAAGTTGACTGCCTTTCTTTTGTTGTTCTAGAAACCAGAAAGCAAATACTGCATTAGAAGCACATGCAATTCAACGCATGGATTTTTCACCAGATACTCAGGTAGTTTATTTGTTTTAAATGGCGAGGCAAGAATTGTGGTGGTAAAGACTTACCTGAGGAGGACTTCAGACTCAGAGCTGGGACAGCATCCTACAGTTGAAGAATAGAGAGAGGCCTTCCCAATTCCAAATAATTTGGAAGGTACTGGACCTAGGATTTAGGTCCTTTCACAATAAACAGGTAACTCTAGGAGAGAGAAGGAGTAATGGGTACTTACCTATATGGTGTGCAGAACCATTGGCTTCAGATAGGACTTCAAATTTTGCTTAGATTTTGGATTTTACAGATATGAAAACAGCACAGAAAGTGTTGCCTGAATTTTACAGTAAATCAACTGTAGTCTTAAAAATCGATCTTTTCCTTGTGTTACTGTGTCTATCCTTACGTTCATACCGATTCGTTCCTTTCTCGCCCTTGGAACAATTTCTCCCTTGGACAGAGAAGCCAGGGCCCCGTGTGGGCTGGGGGCCGGCAGGGGGCGCTGCGGCAGCGCTGCGGGAGCCGGGCCCGCCCCGCGCCGCCGCCTCCGGTCAGCCGGGCCGCGCTTCCGCCCGCGCCGCCGCCGCCATGCGCATCGAGAAGTGCTACTTCTGCTCGGGGCCCATCTACCCGGGACACGGCGTCATGTTCGTGCGCAACGACTGCAAGGTACCGCCCGGCCGCCAGTGCTCGGGCCGCCCCCTGCGCCGGCCCGGCCTGTGCCGGCGGGCCCCGGCGGGGCTCGGTGTCAGCGGCCGCGCCTCACGCGGGGCGCTCGCAGCCCGGGCCGGGCCCCGCCGGGGTGCGCACGGCCGGGTGCGGGCGGGCGGAGCCCGAGATGAGCGCAGCTGGTCAGAGAGCAGCGGGGCTGGGGTTCGACCCCTCTTCGGGCCGTTCGCTTAAGAGCTGGAGTCAGTAATCCTCGTTGTCCCTGGGTCCGCACCAACTCTGACTATTCTGTGCCTCTGCGAAATTAACATCAGTATTTAAATATTAGGACCTGGAGCGATGCCGTAATTTGGCAGGTGCGGTGGCCGTCGGCAAGAGTGGGGGCTGAATTAGTTGTTTTCAGTTTTCAGTAAGAAATAGCACACTTCGCAGAGCAGCACAGAATCCTGACCCTTTGACTGTCAGGCCTTGCCCTCAGGCGGCGGCAGCGCTGTCGCGGGCTCCGCGGCGGGCGCTGCGGGGCAGCCGTGCCCGCGGCCGCGCGGGGAGCCCGCGGCCGCGCGGGGAGCCCGTGCCTGCGCGGGGAGCCCGTGCCCGCGCGGGGAGCCCGCGGCCGCGCGGGGAGCCCGTGCCTGCGCGGGGAGCCCGCGGCCGCGCGGGGAGCCCGTGCCTGCGCGGGGAGCCCGCGGCCGCGCGGGGAGCCCGCGCCTGCGCGGGGAGCCCGCGGCCGCGCGGGGAGGCCGTGCCCGCGGCCGCGCGGGGAGCCCGCGGCTGCCCGGCCGTGCCCGGCGCCGTGTATCAGTGCTGTGGATCGCTCCCTGCCGGTGCTGCGGCTGTCGGAGCCCGCGGCGAGCCGGCGCTAATCGCTTCCTCCCGGACCGCGGGCGGGCAGCGCCGCTCGCAGCCGGCAGCGCCGGGCGGGGGTGCGCGCTGGCACGGGCCGTGCGCTCGCCGCGGCCGTAAACAGAGCACCTGTGACAAGGCAAAGCACCACCACAGGTGTGCCCGAGTTGAGGTGAAAAAACGTGGTAGAAGAGTGTAAAAAAAAAAAAAAAAAAAAAAAAAAAAAAAAAAAAAAAAAAAAAGAGCTATTCGAAAATGATTGCCGTAATTTAAAGTTTCGTATTTTCTGTTAATTTCTCTTAGAATTCACTGTTAGATGGGAAGGAGGATATATGGCTGTAGAAAAATCGGGTTTTCAAAACCTCATGAATAATGTGTAATTCTGACCGTTTTTAAGTGAAGAATCTAGTATTCTGTAGAATATGTAGAAAAATAGGGCAAAAAAAAAAAAAAAAGGCCAATTAAAACGTTTTGTTATATGCTTTAACAGCTTTCAGTAATTTTAGTCCAGGACTTGACTAATGCGCTTAGGACTCTTGCAGGGTAATCTTCGGGGCTTAAGGCTGCATCCCAGAAAATAGACATTTTAGTGTGTGTGTTGCATTCAGTATGAGAGGTGTGAGGATTTTTTGTTGTTGCTCTCAGGATGGTACTGTATCTAAAAAGTGTTGGCAGCTGTAGAAAATTGTTTATTCATACTACAGGTTTGGTTTTATGGTTATTTTAGCAGATGATAATTCTCAAAACTCAGGTGTATTTTATGTATAATCAGCTTAGTTGTAAGTACTTGTGCTTAACCCTGGCAGCTGTGAAAATTACTTCATAATGAAAAAACAATACTAGTGCTTGAAATGATTTTTGTTAATAGCTGTATTTTCTATAAAAATACTGGCATTTGGAAACTAAATATAATTTATAATGAGCAGTATTGTTAGTGTAACCTCAGTGTTTGATATCCCACTTGCAGTTGGCCACAAATAACATGATTTAACTAAGATTTTTCTTCTTTATTGTCACCTTCTTTAAGATATTTAGATTCTGCAAATCAAAATGCCACAGAAACTTTAAAAAGAAGCGAAATCCCAGAAAGATGAGATGGACTAAAGCATTCCGTAAAGCAGCTGGCAAAGAACTGACAGTGGTAAGAAGCTGAACTGGTTCCCACTTTACATGAACACACTAAAATGGATCTTCCTGTGGCACACAGGCTGGGCTAGGTGCCTTAGAGCATTGTCATTTAATGAAATGAGCTGGGGAGAAGAGGGATTGTGGAAGAGAATGGGAGGTTTTCTTGAGAGTGAGCTGTTAATTCGGCTTGATTAAAACCTGGATCTTCCACCCTCGGGATGGAAGCCAGTGTATCAGGTGTCTGTTCTGGGAACACGTGGTGGCTCCCAAGTCCAAGGCTTTTTTTCCCACCAATAAATCCTCTACACTCTATGTGTACAATTGGTAGTTGTGTTTCTGCACAAATAATCTGAGTTACTGGGTACCCGAGGAAGTCTCTCTATGTAGACCCCTAAAATATTTACCTGTGAAGTCTCTTTAAAGCTTAGAATGTGTAGGAAAAGTTTTTGCATAGATAGGAATGTTTGAAAAACAGCATGAGACCTCAAATGGAATTTGAAAACAAAGTTGCTTCAGTGGTAAAAGTATTAAACATTCATATTTGGGGTGACAGCCCTTAAATAATTCAAGAATTATTGTGACTTAATTACCAATTTTTTTACAGACTATTAAAAATTTAGTAAGCATTTTGATACAGTGATTTCCTGCCTTTTGTGGATGTTTCAAGGGAAAGAATGTGGTTTTATTTTTTAATGTGGCTCTGAAAAGCCATGGTTAATTAGCATCTTCAGTAATTTCAGTGTTTCTTGCTTTTGAGTTGTTTCTGGCTATGTTGAATTACCTTTTTGAAAACAACTGAATTTAAAATTACTTTATGCATGTCTAAATATGTTCCAATTTTGAGATACCTAATGTATTTTAAGAATAAAACCAATATATGAACTTAGTGCTGTGTAACTCAGCTTTGCCACAACAAAAAACAACCTTTGGGCAGGGAGAAGTCCTCAGATAAAACTGATATAAAGCTAAGTGTACCTGGCAAAAAAAAAGATGGGGAAACTGTTTTTTTGTCTTCAGCTCATGGGAATGGGAGGATGGCAGCTGTCCCAAATGCCAGAGGTATCAACTGAAATATTTCACAATTTCAAATTAGACTGTTTCAATATTCTTAAAATGAAATGGTGCTTGGGGTATTTTTTTAAAACCATTTCAAAATTACAAGCTGTTGAGTAGAGCTTATTTGTCCTGCAATAAATGCTTTCAAATCTACAGGTTTTCAATTTTGCCTTCCACCTGTCTAATCTGCTCTGTTTCCTATTCCACATGGGTTTTCTCTGTTCCTTTTGTCCTGCAAAATAGAAAATAGCTGAAGGAAATGTTGTGGTAAATAGTTCTCTCCAGACAAACCACTGTGGCTCCTGACACTTTGAGGTCGAACACTCAACTCAATTTCCTTCTCATATTTCTCTCTAATGATCATTCAAATCTAGAAACTGAGCTTCTGAAAGGGGGAAAAGAATCCCATAAAATACTCAGTTATGTGAGTGACAGCTACAGTAAGAATGTATTGATCTAAATAAGCTTCTGCATATAGTCTATATTTACTTTTTCTTGATACAGGATAATTCATTTGAATTTGAAAAACGTAGGAACGAACCAGTGAAGTACCAGAGAGAGTTGTGGAACAAGACTGGTGAGTCATTATAGGAAAAAACCAAAAAAATTATTTTTTTACTTACCATGAATGTGTTTTCAAAAGACTTCTTAGAGTACTGACAGCTTGTAGTGATTTGTGTTTGAAATTACTGAATCATGACCAAATTCTTAGCATGTGGAGGAGGCTTGAGTTGTAAACAGGTGTGGAGTTTCACTTGATGGTTTTTTTCAGAAACTGGTTTGAAGATGAGGACCAGAAGTCCTTTGTTTTGAATTTTTGTCTTCAAACCCCTTAGTGGTTTTCCAGCTTTTTAAGAGGCTCCCTATGTCAGCCTTTCACATGATGCAGTTGTTTCTGTGTTTGTGCTCATGCCACTTCAGTTTGTTTCATAGAATCAATTGCCATAAAATAGGAGAACTGCTTGTATCCATGTGAATGAATGCCACAAAGGAGAAGGTGGTAACTTGCATCTCTTTTCAAGTAGAGTCTTTTGCAGTCATGGTTAACTATAGAAATTATGTGTAGGCACAAAAGTGGAAGCATAAATAAGTTTTAAAATACAAATTAGCAGAGTTGCTACACAGAACATTTCTTTATCCTGCTCTTTGGAGAAGGAATAGTTTCCTCCACATAGTGTAAGAGTTGCCTCTGGTATTTAGGTATTATGGGAGTACTGTTAAGAGCTGCTTTACAAAAATAGCATGGATTTTCTGCTGCAGGGATTTAAGCACATTTAAAACAACTTCTGCTTTATTTCAGTGGATGCAATGAAGAGAGTGGAGGAAATAAAGCAAAAACGCCAAGCCAGATTTATTATGAACAGGTGAGAATTATCTGTGTGATGGGAACCCCTTGCATGTGTGTGTTAGACAACTTTCCAGAAATGGGATGATGCAGTTTTAAAGAGTAATTATTTCTGTATATACACAGTCATCCAAGGGATGGGGTAAAATACACTGGGTGGGCTCTACCCTGTGTTATTGGCTGTCCAAGGAAATGTACCTTTTGGACACTCAAGGATAATAGCTGTAATGTAGTCCTTGTTTGTATACAGAGTCTTAAATTTTAACAAAATTCTGATAGGAGTTGCTACAGTGCTGCACTTTCTTATGGCTTTGTATCCAGAATTTTCTTGAATGGTTTTCAAATACTTTTTGCCTTTACTTCCTCATAATCATAGTTACTTACAGCTTGTACATACCTTTACTGAGGGATACCATGCATTAAAATGAAAGCCTACATCTCCTCTTTGAAGGTAATTAAATCTAATTTTCCCCTTTCCCAGATTAAAGAAAAGCAAAGAGTTGCAGAAGGCAGAAGACATCAAAGAAGTCAAACAGAACATCCACCTTCTTCGTGCTCCCCATGCAGGTAAGAACTTGATTTACTGGTTTGCCTACAGTTTTAGGATAAGTGACTCATTCTACAGATCAATAATTCTGTACACTTGTCTTACAATTAATTTGTCTGTTGAATGTGGAGAATAGTTCTTGCCACTAAATATAAGAAGTATCTTAGCCCTGAATCAAATATACCTTTTTTATTTATCGAGTCCACATTAATGTCATCCTTTCTCTTCCTTATTTTGAGTGTTTTAAATTGCTCTCAATACCTGGTACTGCATGAACTGCGTATTTGTTATCTGATGCATTTACCTAAGTCTTCCCTTTGAACTGATTTGTTGAACTCAACCGACTCTACCACTGAATTATATAAAATACAGCAGTTCAGCTTTGCTGCTTGAATTTGTCAGCCAGTTGTGTAGAACTTATATGAAAATACTGTTCCTTCAGTAAAGTCACATTTGAAATAAATTATTTACTTTTAAAAATACACTTAACTAAGTAGAGTAATGAAGACAAGTTAAAAACATTTCCATTAGCTCTTGTTTTATAAAAATTACCTATGATTTTTTTCTTCATTATTAGATAGTACTTAGAAGTCTGTTCTATGATTTTTCTTATATTTTTGTCAGGATATATTTACACTTTGGTTTAATCTGTCTTCCTCCCGCCCCTTTTTAGTTTTGAGAAAAGGAAAAAGATCTGAATTCAAAATAATAAATTCAAGTGTTTATTTCTGTGTTTGGCTTTGCTTTTATGAAATGAATGTTGCACAGCACTTTGTAGTCCATCTGTTGATCAAACACCTGCTGCCTTCTTGGTATTCTGCAATTCTGACTGGGCAGGGAGCAGAATCAAATATAAGTCTTTAGACTTTTAGATTTTGGTTTCTTCTTTTTCATTGTTTTTGTTTTTGGTCATCTTATTGAGAGTTAGCATTCTTGCTGTCCAATACAGCATTCAGGAGGGGTTTAAATGTTCATTTAAAAGCTAATGGGAGAAAGCCATTGATCTGTAATAAGCAATGAAATTTTGTAGTCCTTTGCAAGTTTCTGCCAGGTATTGACAGCTGTATCAGTTTGTCATAGCAGATGAAAACACAGGTTTGACTGCATTTCGGATTTTGCATAAAAACAGCATCAGCTTTTCTGCTAAAACAAGTTTAAGAGATGGAGGTTAGCAGTAAATACCTTTGAGCTTGATGGATTTGCTCATAAACAGCTCTTCAAGCCATATAATTTAGGCTGTTTCACCTGGAATAGATGCGTATATCGTTCAAAAAAAATCAGTTATTTGGGCTTAGAGAAACACATTGAATTTGATTTGTTCTTTTTGAAGGTACACCAAAACAGCTGGAGGACAAAATGGTGCAGAAGCTACAAGAAGATGTGCCTATGGAAGAAGACTCTTAAAGTGCTTTTATTTACTATTTATATCTCTTCAGCAGTTAACAGTTCTTTACTGCCTCACCTGATGTCATTCAGAAATATGCTTAGAATTGAAGAAAAGTACATTTTAATGATAAGTGGTCATTTACAATTTGAATTATTTTTTTAATGAAAAATAATAGGATGGATACTAGTTTGGGCAGTACTTAAAATTCTGCAATTGGAGAAAACCTTGTCAGCAGGATGGAGAATGAGGCTTTATTGTTTGAGATACCATGTGCTCCTTGGAAAGTTACATTTTTTCTGGGTAACTTTTCCACATTCATGCAAATAATTAAATAATAAATAATAAAATATGCTGGCCCTGAGCTTTTCTTATTATGTCTGCTGTTCTTCCATAGTGGTAAAAGTAGATACAAATCTGTTTTACTGATTACAGTGTAGGGCAGGATGTATTAATTTTTCTCAGTCCAGTGTGGTCCAGACTTATTTTCATTCTTGTCCTGGGGAAAATATTTCAATTTGAAGAATACAGTGTTTGTTTTATTTCCTTTTTATGTCAGCCACCCCAGGATTCCATTGCAGTTGACACCTGGCAAAGCTAACATGGATGCAGGACTTAGGTTTGGAAAATAGTAATGGTGATACCACCTAGTCTGGAGTTGGCCCTGCTATCATCCTCACCCACCAAAATTCAAATCTAATGTCTAATCAGGCAGATGGAAATGCTCAATAAATCACATTTGAGACTGTTTTTACCTGACTCCCAGGATTATTTTGATGGAAAAGATGCTGGTAAATCACAAGTATTTTGCATATTGTGGCGATGCTTATTCAGTGTCAGCACTGTTTTAAACTGCCAGCAGTTTATCTGCAGCAGTGTGATCAAAGAAAGCTTTCAAAGGCATTTATAGTATTTGCTGTCATGTTATGCTAGTTATCCTCAAAATAATAATTTGTAGTTTTATTCCAAACTTGGATATGTACTATAGCAATCACTGGAAAACCTCACACCTACCACCCACATGTGTTTTGTGTAGTAAATAATCATACTTAAACTTATGTAAGGGTCTTGGGGAGTGTGTGACATGGACTGGCATTGTACTCAGTTTTTTATCTCTTCATTTATGAGTTATGTTCAGATATTTAGAAAATGACATATTTTAGTGAGAATTCTAGTAATAAAAATATAATTCCTTATTTTAATGAAATTAAATTTTTGCCATAATTTAAAATTTGCTGTATTGCTTGTGCAAACTGTAATATAAATACCGTCTGAAAAGCATATGGTAAGTTGGCCAGAAAACTTATATAATTGGGGTGAAATCACTAAGATGGTACGGTATAAATACAGTGTATTATGTGCTATATGTACACCAGGATACTTGGGCTTGTGGAGGGAGATACTCAGAGGATGTTAATTTATAGTCTCACATAAACATATTAATTAACAGCTCAAGAAATGTGATGTTTTTTGAATGGCCTTTTCTACTGTAGTATTTCATGTCCTTAATCCTTGAGGTAGGATACTTAATCTAAAAATAATGTTATATAAAACCATTTTTATTTACTAAATTTAAAGGATAGGATGTTCAGCAAGTGCCGAGTTTTAATTTTCTCCAAAAATAGGGAAGTAAATCTGTACAAAACAGACAAAGGTGGTGAATCTGATTGGGTGTTAGTTAATAGTCATATAAAATATTTTACTTCATAGGAGTTTAACATTAAATAATGTATATTACATAATATCTGTACTTGTTCTGTTCACCTGTCTTTAAATGAATTGCAATAATTAACTGGTTTGTGTGCTCTATAGAAGTGTGTCTGTGGGATTATTAACCCTTTCCTATGAAGTGAAAGTAAGTGAAGTAATCATTGTGCAGCAGCTAAGAGCCATCTGAGGAGAATACAGCCATAAATCCTGAACACTGCCAGCTGTATGAGTTGTTCAGCCTGTGTGCCTCAGTACTGGTACAATTGCAAGCGAGGCCTGTGGAAGTTAATGCTGAGTTATCCCACTGCCAAAATGCCATTTCTCTGGGAAGCAGAGACTTGCAGCTGGCATGTGTACCTTGTAGTATATAGGAGGTAATTGAGCTTAAAAAATTTGTCATGAGTAACATGCTTGCAGCACCTGGTCAGAAGGTGCCCTTGTGATTTTTTTTTTTTTTTAATTTAATTGCTGTGTGTCCCGTTCTCTTGTCTGTCAACTGGAGCACAAGGTGAGGGTGGAAGAGCTGCAGCTGAACAACATGGGGCTGGTGATCATTCTGCACATCTCTGCATAACCCACTGCATGCAGAGACCTTCATGGAGAGCTGCTGAGCTGCAGCAGAGTGGAGGTTTTCTTTCTGGAGGCTTGCTGTCCAACCACATTTCTAATAGAAATTGTTATTATTCAAGACACTTTGGTGAAGATCTATTTTCTTTGCTTGCTTAAGGTAAAAATGTCTTTAGATTTTGCATTTTGCTTACAAGACTTACAGAGAAAATGTCCAACTGAGCAGTATACTGGTGGTCATGGATAAATACTGCCAAACAGGAGGAAGGAAATGCATTCCTCTTTCCACTTGAACAGCCCTAGATCAGACAGTGGCTTGCCAGAGGAGTTTGGGGATAGGCAAACGGGAAGCTCTTATCTGCCTCCTGTGAGTGGGGCTGAGCTGTGCCCAGTCCCTGGGAGGCAGAGCACGTTGGAGAGGGCATTTTATGAGCAGCACATTGTTATTCACAAGAGATCCTGGTTTGGTGTCATACATCCAAATCACCAGCCTTGTGTGCTGAGATCCAGTAGGAACAGAGCACAGGGTGCCTATGAGAACAGACTTACAAGAGAAATTATGATGATGGTGTGTGAATATTTAATCAGAAGAATTATTTATGAATAACTGGTAGTGCTAAATTCCATTGTACTGCCTGTCTTCTTGGCATTTACCAGGTCTAACAAACGATTGCTGTTTTGTGTTTGTACATTGCAGTCAGGGAAGCCTTTCTTGAAAACAAGCTGAAAGGCTCGATCAGAACAAATGTGATAGTCAAAACCAATTTTTAACAAATGCTTTTTATTTTCAGTTGCTGTCATCTTTCCTTACAAAACAAAACCAGATGCATAGTTCCTTTTTCAGACTACAAAAGTTGGAAATGTGTATTTTAATAGTAATTTAGTAACCGTCTTTTTCTCATATTTCCTCTTTTCCATTTTTAACCCATCTCTTGGTGATTTTGAGTTAAACACTGGTTTTCCTTTGAGGGGGAGGTCAGCCTCTTGCTCCTCCCTCACTTCCAGCCTCAGTTCCTCGTGCCCAGGGCCCTGAGCAGAGGCTCCAGCATGTCCAGGGTGCCCTTTATGTCCCTCACCAAGTCCCGCTGCGGTTTCGGTGTGTGCCTGTCCCTGTCCCAGCCCGGCTGCTGTGGTGTGTGGGGAGCCACGGCCCACTCTGAGCGGCGCCATCCAGGAACAGCGTTCGCTGTTCGTGTGGGTTCTGTGGGGCGCCGAGCTCCTGAGCGACGAGTGCGGTGCCGGTTCTG